CTTTTTGACTGAGAGCTGATTGGCTGACTGAGTCCTCTCTTTGTTACTCTTTTTTTTTTTGTCTGAAAAGGCTGAGCTAAAAATGAGGCCCACAAATGAGTGATAGAACCAGACAGACACCACCATTTCTCTCAAAGTCAACATCTGGAGCTGCGACATAGAGTTGAGGCTTCTCTCTCGGGCGGCACGGTGGCTGAGTGGATAGCACTCTCGCCTCTCAGCAAGAAGGTCCTGGGTTCGAATCCTGGTTGGACCAGGGCCTTTCTGAGTGGAGTTTGCATGTTCTCCCCGTGCCTGCGTAGGTTTCCTCCGGGTGCTCCGGTTTCCCCTACCACTAAAAATATGTACAATAGGTCTGGCATGTGCCTCCTGTACTGGCACCCCCACTCCCAAAAATAACAATTGTAAACCGCTTTGAGACTCCGATGTGCAGTGAAAAGGTGGTATATAAATAAAGATTACTACTGCTACTTACTACTCTCTCTGTGTTGTGGGTATTGATGTGTTGCTGGTGTTAGCGTGTTAGCTGATGTCTGTAAAAATAATCCATCTTGTCAAACCACCTCCAGACTTTTCAGTTCTGTCCACTTTTACGGCTGGGATCTTTCATTTCACGGTAATCACTTTTATGCTTTTTAGCTTTTCTCTGCACTGCGATGTCCGTGATATCTATTCTTTCGCCCGTAGCGCTACCTTCGCTAACACTCACTCGGGTGGCACCATCGAGCTCAGACTGACAGCATCCGCAAACGAGTCGAACCCGGTCGGACCATAGATCCATGACTCCAGCCCGTGGAATGTTGAGTTCTTGAAGATTGCTCCTCGTCTGAACCGAGTCAGAGTCCTCAAAATCAGAATTACTGTCATAACAAGTACGCAAGGGCTCATAAATAAAAAACCCTGACTTGTATTGTCCATCACTGAATGAGAAAGATCTGTTTAAAACGTCCGTATACAACGTTATGGCTTACAAATGCATATCAACAAAGCCCAAAGACCCCTACAGTACATGTACGTCACTTCCGGTCTCTGCAATTTTTCCGCACATTTCTTTTTGCATGATAAATATTGATTGAAACCGCTGAGGGAATGAGTTTTATTTAACACAAAAAAGACCACAATATGCCAACAAAATAGGAATAGGTCCCTTTTAATACCACAGCTGTTTTTGGTGTAACCTCAAAACCAAATGATTTTACTGTAAGACTTAGAAATATGTGTTTGCATGCGTCATACTGGGGAGCTTTAATTAAAAATGCTAGAATTGTTGTCAAATCTGCGATACCATAAACAGTTTAGAAGTCAAATTGTCAACGAGAGACAGAATATACATTTGCTACAGAGATCGAGAGAGACCAGAGAGAGAGAAACTTTGTGGAAAAGTAAAAACATTGTCGAGTTAAATTTGTGTGAAAAACGTTTATTGTTCCTCAGTTATTACTGGAGGCAAAGTCCAGAGAAGTCTTCCACAAATGCATTAGTACAGTCCATTGTTGTCAAGTCTAAAGCCAAAAACAGTCTCATAGTTTCTTGCTGAGTCTATGACACTGTTTTAGACCTAATTGTCCTAACCCTAACCCTAACGACACGGATTGGAACATTCTTACAGCTCACACGCAGAACCAATCTGCCAAACTCAAACGAGCAAAGAGAGGCTGTTGCTTTGCCCTGAATGATCTACACCAGGAAGACCAACTGGTTTTACAGAGGTCTCACTGAGGTTTTCCTTCCAACCAAACAGGAACACTGCAGACTACACTCATTTCATCAGGTCTTCAGGTCGAGCCTGGACCTGGGGCCATGAGGAGTCTGGTCCTGCTCTGTCGGACTGAGACCTCAGCCACACCTCCTTCTGAACCCGCCGGACCTCCCTGATCTCCAACGCGGTCTGGAGACCCAGACTCGTTGGAGGCCATTTTGTGCAGAATCAGCAAAGCAGCATCTGCAGGTGTTTGTGTTGCCTCAAAGCTCCAGAAGCACAAACAGCCGAACAAACTCTCCAGTACATTCTGCTGCTTTTGCAGCTTAAAGCTTTTTGTGGACAACCCAAACCCAACCTGGCAACCCCTTCATGGATCCATGAGGGGGTTGCCAGTTATGGCTGATGCACTCAGCCAATGGAATGCTCGATTTTAAGTTTTTGTTTTGTTTTGTTTTTAGTTTTTTTTTAAGTTTTGCTTTTATATTTTTTAGATTGTTAAGTTTTTTTTGTTTGTTTTTTTCAACCAGGAGCGTCCCACTGAGATTTCAGAATCTCTTTTTCAGGGGTGTCCTGGCCCCTCAGAGAGAGGATCTATTGTCCATGTTTTTAGTGGTAGGGGAAACCGGAGCACCCGGAGGAAACCTACGCAGACACGGGGAGAACATGAAAACTCTACTCAGAAAGGTCCTGTGTCCGTGAGGATTCGAACCCAGAACCTTCTTGCTGAGAAGTACGAATGCTAACCACTCGGCCACCGTGTCGCCCGAAGGGATTTACTTACTTGCGACTGCACCTGAAGTTTGCAGCCTTTTGTTTCGTCTTCTCCTGTAGTTCTTTAGCTCGTTGTTCCTCCTCCTGAGCTTCCTGGTCTTTCTGAGCGAACAGTTGGACCAGGCTCCTAACGGTCAGACCTAGCACCCTGCGCACCTGTCTAAAGTCTACGGATTAAGGCTTAGGTTCAGACGCGCTTTCATTTCTGACTATAGCTTAAAATTAAACAATCATTTGTCAAAATGATACTCCGAGGACAAAATGACTCACACTTGCATCAGGTGAACACACTTTCAGATTGGAAGCAACACACTACAGTACTTTATGTAAAACACTGCAGTCATTTTCACTGTTTATATTCTGCTAATCGGTTAGTTTTGTAGTTCAATGGAACTGATTGTGTTCTCAACAAAGGTTTACCAACAACCAGGAAGTACTGAAAGGTTACAAATAATATCACCTCAATACTGTATTCAGTACTACAGTACACTTTACTGCATTTGTGTCAATGCAGTAAAACCAAAGAATCTCTAACGTAAAACTAGGCACTTGCGCGTGTGTGGATTATGGATGATGGTCCCAGCTGCTCGGACTGTTTCCACAAAGTTCCTCCTGTTTGTGAACAGTTGCCGACCCCCTCCTCATTGAGATGTTCTTCTAGTCATTCTGTAGAAATATGTAACCACAAATTGTTACTATAGGTTTTGTACTACAACATCTCAGTTCTGTGTACTTTACTGTATTGTATGTTTCACAAACCTACAATTTTTCAAAAGCAGCACTAACTTGCATTACAGTACATGTGATACAGTACAGTACTGTAAATACTGTAGATACAGTTTGCAGTAGAGAGTTGGAGACAAGTTTCCATCTGAAGGTCCTGATGATGCAGCTGTGGCTGGACTCCCTCAGTGTGAGGCCATGGTTTATCACATGATCCACAAAAGTTACTCTAATGTCATCAGAAATATCTTCAACCACGTCCTCACCTCTCCTTGTCTTCTTCCTCTTCCTCTCTCTTGACTTTCCTGCCTTCAGACTTGCAAAGTTCTGAAAATGGCTAAACTGAGGCCTGTTTGTGTCTGGCTGATGTGTGTCGCATTTTGTAAGTCAGTATTTTCAAGTGTGTGTCTCAGTGTTTTCAATCACTCAATATGTTTGGTATTTTGAATAGATGTGTTTTCCCAAAGACAAGTCAGGATATAATTTATGAACAAAGTGTCTTATGTATGACACAGTGTGGAGTGAGCAGGAGAAAGTGTGTTGCAGAAAGAGAAAGTGTGTTGCAGAAAGAGAAAGTGTGTTGCAGAAGGAGAAAGTGTGTTGCAGAAGGAGAAAGTTTGTTGTAGAAGGAGAACGTGTGTTGCAGAAGGAGAACGTGTGTTGCAGAAAGAGAAAGTGTGTAGCAGAAAGAGAAAGTGTGTTGCAGAAGGAGAAAGTGTGTTGCAGAAGGAGAAAGTGTGTTGTAGAAGGAGAAAGTGTGTTGTAGAAATGAAAGTTAAGTGGAAAGCAGTACTTTTGTTTAAGGAATGGTTAGACTGTGTTTTAGGTTCAGTACAAAAACGTCAAGTTCTGTAAATTTGGTCTAAGCGTGTGTCTAGTGTTCAAGCAACAGGAAAATACAGTACTAGTAGATCCATGGTTTAGCCTAGTGTGGGTGGTCCATCACTGTGTGGGGCTCGGCTGTGTCCTCTGACCTGACCCATGGATCTATTATAATACCTTGATAGGGTATTACTAGGTTGGAGCTGAAGGACCCATGTGCTCGGGGGATTCTCGCGGTACTGCAGACTAAACCAGACTAAATTCACGAGGGCTACCCAGAAATTTTCCCCATAGAACTCAATGTAAACTAAACCAGTGCAAACTCAGCTGACAGAGAACCTACATCTTTCATAAAGGTCGGATTTTGTGGGGATTTTAGTGTCCCTTGTCATCCTGAACTTTTTTTCTTCTTAAATCCTTCAGTTTTCTTTAAATCCACACTTTAGTGCCACCAACTCTGCTCTTTTGGCTCTCGCTGTAACTTCCGCTCTGATCAGCAGTTCTGATTGGACAGAGCGCGGCCGAGCCCCTCTGTGCACGTGCATGACAGCCACACACATGTGCCACTGAGCACAAACCATTCATTTGAATACGGCGCCATCTTAGAATCGCTGGGGCTTGTGTGGACCCCTGTTATATCTGTTTTACCGATAAACATTACTATCTAAAGCTCTGTACGTCTTTATTTTACCCACATTGTTACCACAGTCTGTAAATCTTAAACTTGATTCATTCATATCTCAAGTAATAACATCTTCTGTTCTTATGCACATTGTTACAAATCATATAAAAAGCCTCGTCTCCTTTTGTTCGATCTAATTGTGTTTTTAAATGATTATTTTATGTGATTTGTGCCTTGTGTTGTGAGACGTGGTCTGTGTCGTGCTTTGTGTTGCCCTGTGTTGAAAAAGCGCTCTACAAATTAAGATTGATGAAAAGTTGAACTATTCTTTCTTTGTGTCGCTGCAGATTCCTGAGCATGATGAACAACGAGGCGGCGCCCAGTTATTTCAACGGAGGAAGTCTTACGCAGTACGAAGACTACAGGTGAGGACTATCGCATGGATTGTTATTGTTAGAATATTTCTCCAGTGTCTACAATCAAGTTTATCTTATCTTGAATTGTTAAATCCTTGATAAATATGTCTCACAGCTTATAAATACCACATTTAAAACAAACAAGTGTGAGCTATCTCTGCATGTAAGATAAGATAAGCTAGATAAGATTGACTTTTTATCTGTGTCACATTTAGCACAGATAGAATCACTCAGATTGTGCAAAAGACAGAAGTGTGCAGGATATATTTATATACAATCAAATAAAAACGTTACAGTAAAAAGGATCTTAATCTATCATATTTTAGTTCCACATTATAAATTGAAGAAATGTATAAGAAACACTTTTTATTTTCTGTGTATCTGAGAAAGAACAACCCGATTTTGGACTTTGGCACAGAATAGTAAAGTCAAGATAAACTTTAAATTTGAGAATAATTGGAGGGTGTGTGTGGTAGTAAACGGGGAGAGATGTGGTTGTGATATGTCGCCCTCCTGTGGATAAATACGGTAACGCAGGAGCGTGGCGCAACTGTCAAATAACTAGAATTTCTCCGCTAATAAGTAGTATAAACAAGCCTTGTTTGGGAGAATACTTTGTGAATCTATTCCGTTCCCAAATACTGAATACATGACCTGAAATGTATTTGTATTCCGGTCCTTTGGTAAGAGTTTAAGTTTAATTTACCAAGAACAATATTGCTGTTGCATTAAAAATCCTTGACAATTATACGGCGGCACGATGGCTGAAGGTCCTGGGTTCGAATCCCGGTCGGAAAAAGGGCCTTTCTGAGTGCATGTTCTCCCCATGTCTGTGTAGGTTTCCTCCAGGTGCTTCGGTTTCCTCTCCACTAAAAACATGTACAATAGGTCTGTAATGTAATGTAATGAGTGAGTGAATGGTGTAGCTTCTGTCATCGCCGTTTAGAGAGAATGGAAAAATATCTGATTTCCGAACATTGTATAGCGCTTTGGGTGATCTTGGTCTGTTAAAAGCGCTTTATAAATAAAAATTACTTACTTACTACTTACAATACACTCATATATACATATTAAAAGGTATGGTCAATAAACGTGCAATAGTAGTACCTGTATTATTCCGAATACTTACGTTATTTATACTGTACTTTTAACTATTATCTGATTTTATTGTAAATTAATGTTTATTTACAAAACTTAAAAACATATATTTCTAAATGTTTTAAACCCATAACCAGCCCTTTGTAACCTTACTTGGGGCTATGGTAAAATGACTACTGCATTACTCCTGCCACACATGCAGTATAGAATTACAACAACCTAATCCTGAGATTACAGTCTAAACAAATATTGTTTTGTCTCATAAAATTGACTTTGGAAAGGTAAATGGTCCAGGACAAAGCCACAGCTGCCCTGGACATGCGAGCCTGCCATTACAGTTCTATTGAGTCATGTTTGTGGAGATAATGCTTTTAGAGGTTTTGTTCATGAATACTTTTCCGTAATATTGTATAATTTCCAAAAGCACACCGGACAACACTCAAGGCACACTAACTACCCAGGTAGAAAAACACTGCAGTAGAGAAAAAAATAACAAAAATAAAAATACTAATTAAGTAACCAGACTGTGACTGAGTGCATTGTATGCGACTGTTCCGCAGACTGTACGTGATCAGTCAGATTCCCGGGTTGGAGATCCTGGACGACACTGAGGTGATGGAGAAGGAGAGGATCCAGGCCAGAAAAACCTACCGCCTTCACCGCCTCAGCTACAGCAGGAGGAGGAAGGACGGTCTGCACAAACACAGACACATGCAAAAGAAATCCAACGCTGTCATCTGACCTCTGACAAACTGGACCTGGCTTCATGTGCTCTGTCCTCGTGTATTTATGAACATTAGGAATAAAATACTATTACATTCATTTACAGTCGTATTTTTCCTCATGTTTTCCATTAGATTCAAGTCATGAAAAGCAAAAGGGCCTCGCAATTCAACATGGTCCGGGCCGCTGCCTGGGCTGTTGCAGAGGCAAAAACCCGAGACTGGGAGGAGTTCGGAGAGTCCATGGAGCTTGACTATCGGTCGGCCTCAGATTCTGGAAAACCGTCCGGCGCCTCAGGAGGGGGAAGCAGTTCTTTGCCAACACCATGTATGGTGCAGGCGGAGAGCTGCTGACCTCGACTGGGGATATTGTTGGGCGGTGGAAGGAATACTTTGAGGTTCTCCTCAATCCCCCCGTCACGTCTGAGGCTAAGGCTGAGGATGTTGGGGCGGATACTTCCATCTCCCTGGCAGAGGTCACCAAGGTGGTTAGCAGCCTCCATGGTGGCAAGGCGGCGGGAGTGGATGAGATCCGTCCTGATTATCTTAAGTCTTTGGATGTTGTACTGTCTTGGCTGACACGTCTCTGCAACATCGCGTGGCGAATGGGGGCGGGGGCGGTGCCAATGGAGTGGCAGACCGGGGTGGTGGTCCCTCTCTACAAGAAGGGGGAGCGGAGGGTGCCCTCCCGGTAAGGTCTACTCCATGAGGGAAGGAGGGAGCGTGAGATTGGGGACAGGTCGGTGCAGCGTGTGCAGTGAAAAATAGAATGTTTAAAGTTCTGCAGTTACTTTCTCTGTCTTACTCTGATTGACAATAGTTTTAAGGATGCCCAATAATAACAAAAGCTCACACCTACAGCACACAGACAGTATTTGTTCAGATCTGCTCACATCCTGTTTGTCTAGATTAGAACATCTCATTATGACTTTAAAACTAGCCACTCTGCATCCATTCAGTCCATGGTGCTTTCTGTAACTAATGAAAGCAACCTGGCCCTGCTGCCTCCTGCTTGTTATTCCTCTGGGAGACATGGGAAGTGCCGGAGCAGCAGCAGCAGCAGACCATGAGAGTCATGACTGGAGGCTAAATGCTTCATGATTCACGTTATGTAAAACACTGAGCAGAAATCTGACTTTCCATTACTTACAACAGTAATGTCCATAGATACATATATAGATACAGATATAGATACAGATACAGATTCTCAGCTGTCATTATTTTTGAATGAGCTTTTGAGATGAGAATGTTTTGAATATTTCTAAGTCAAAATAACACAATCCATTTGTTTTTATTATTTTTAACCCCTATTATAATTATTTTTATCATAGGCCTTTACCAAATGGTTGAGATGCAGTTTGATGCTAAGTGTCTAAAACCAGTGTCTAAGATATTATTAACTTGCAGCTTTGGTAGTAATGGTAAACCATGGCATGTTTTACATGTGTATACATGTGTGTGTATCTGACACAGTTCTCGTGACTCTGACTTGTGACGTCCCGCTGCACTGGCGGCAGAACAAAGTGCACTTGGTACTGACGTCACGCTTGGACGAGGACAGAGTCTCAGAGTCACGCTCTGGGTTTATGTTAAAGGTCCCGCGACGTCCAAACACACCTCCTCACTCTGAACGTTTGAATTACAGTGTTTACTGTTATGTAACACAGTCTCAGCTTTGGGCAGCACGGTGGCGGAGTGGTTAGCACTCTCGCCTCGCAGCAAGAAGGTCCTGGGTAACAGGGTCTTTCTGAGTGGAGTTTGCATGTTCTCCCCGTGCCTTCGTAGGCCTCGGGGCCTCGGGGCACTCCGGTGTCCCCTACCACTAAAAACATGCTCACTAGGTTAAATCCTCCAGCTCCGGTAGTCCTGACCAGGCCGAGCATCAACATATGGAGATGGGTTCCCGGGTGCTGTACTACGGCGACCACTGCTCCTGACGTAAGCCTCCGCGGCATCAGGATGGGTCAAATGCAGAGGATTGAATTGCCCTACAGGGATTAATAAAGTGCACCTTTACCTTCAGGTGGAATGAATATGCAAATGTGACGTAATAGATACCGCTAATACTACTACTTCTACTTCTACTACTACAATTGCTCTTACCACTAACACCTACCACTACTACTAATACTAATAATTATTATTAAGGTTTGTCCCAACAGGAAAATTTCTAAGAGCATATTATCCTGTAATAAGTGTTTTATGTGTTGTTTGTGAAGCCGGAGCAGGACTGTAAATCTCGGGGTGGCCATAGAGTAGACTGTAGGTGACACGCTTTTATTTTGTATTTTATTTTATTTTGTAGACAACAACCGGAAACAGCCTCATGTGCACATGTGAGCTTTAAACCCTGACAGATAGAGTCCGCTTCTCTCCGCTCCAGCCGCAGATCTATGAAACACACAGACCAGGACTGACACAGAGACCAGGACCAACCATAGACTGGAAACATGGGCTAACACTGAGACCGGGACCTGAATACAGACCAGGACTAAGGATCTGGTCTAGACTGCACACCAGCGCTATGAGAGAATAACCGGAGCCGGGATATGGAGCTGAGACTCGGCTCCCACAGACGCAGCGGCTGCGTGGACCTGGACCAGCGCTGACCTACATTGACGCAGCGCCTCGGACACGTCTCCGGGACATGGATCTCTTTGTGTCAACCCCAATGCCGTCAAACCTCGCAACGGGATCAAGTGACCTTCATTGTGAGAACGCGGCTAGGACTCCACCACGCACGCTCTTCATCATGTCCTATGCAAAGTGAAGTCCACATGACCTTCTTGGGAGATTTCAGGGTCAAAGGAAAAACCAAATGAAACAATATAGCCACTATTATTTGATGCTGTTTTATGTAGTATGTAATAATGGCCATTCTGTGGACTCGGCACCGGATTTAAAAACTAAGCTCTTTGGATTATAGCCTGCAGCAGAACATAAAACATTTAAAAGCCAGATTAAAGAGGTCTGTTTGATTAGTTTTTTTTAGTCTCTAGATGCCTTATATGTGAATGGCCTTAAGGGCTCAGCAATACGCCCAACTCTAGTCCACTGTAATGTCTACAACTCTACCCTGAGATAGCTTTAGTTAATCACCATGCTTCTAAACTGTGGCCAGCCCCTCCCTCTCCTGAGGCACACGGATGTCCCACCTCGGGTCAAAGAGAATTTCATCCTCACCGGGTATCGATTCCCCAACTACAGCCTGAAAGACTGTCTCCTGTCCGCCTTCAGACCCACCAACGAGACCGGCAACTTCTGGACTCACTTCCTCCCGGTTTTCATCTTTTTCTACCACTTCGTCGAGGTGTTCGGCTGGGAAAACGCGCCAAACGGGGACGACGCCTTCTTCTACCCGCTGTGGAACTACTTCATCGGCGTGTTCTGCCTCCTCATGGCGAGCAGCTTGGCCCACCTCCTGAACTCCATGTCGATAGTGGTTCGCGAAGTGTGTTTCTTTGTGGATTATGGCACGATTAGCGCGTACACGGTTGGATCGTCTATCGCCTACTACTTCTACATCCACCCGCGAGCCGGCCTGCAAGAAGTCCCTCAAACCCAGCCCGAAACGACCAGGTCTTCCTATGCAAGTCTCGATTTTGACCTCTTCTTTGAGGCTCTCTACATTCCCATTGCATGTGCGGTCGCTATTATTTGCATCTTGTCTTGTTGCAACACACGCCAGAGATGGAGAAAGTACCGCTACGTCATCCGAACTCTTGTTTTCATTCTGCCTTTCTTCGTCTCCTCTACGCCAGTCTTCTACAGGCTCCTCACCATATCCCCCTATTCGGACAAGACCTCCTCCTTCGCTTCGTCCAACACCATGGCCTCCTTTTTCTACCGCCACTGCTTCTGGTTGCTTCTGTCCGCAGTGGTCAACATCAGCAAAGTTCCCGAACGCTTCGCCCCCGGTCGCTTTGACATCTGGGGCCACAGTCACCAATGGTTCCACTGTTTTACGTTCCTCTCCATCCTGGACGAGCTGCACATGATCAAGGCGGAGGTGAGGGCCATCTTGCTGAGTCCGTCTTTGCTCCTGGGCCCTGAGAGTTCCCCTCGGCTCCCAGGTCCCACCGTAGCCTCCACCTACGGCGTGATGCTGCTGCTCCAGACCACCATCGTTAGCGTCATTGCGTGGTTCTCCTGGAAGGCCAACCGCATCTACGGGCCCCAGAGAGACCAGCTTCTCAAGGACCACCCACACATGCATCAGAAATGTCATTGATTGGACAAAATTGTTTTAGGTTTTAGTGAACAGAATGACTAGTTTAACAAAAAGAAGTACATATTTTATATCTGTGAATCAAGCCTGGCTTCCAACAGCTGTTTTAGATAAGTTTGATCTGAATTGCAGCATGTTAACAAAAAAATAGTAAGATGATTATGAAGGATCTATCTCAATCTATATTTTATTATGAGGCAAATTTCTAGCATGAATGATTTATAAAAGACTTTTTATTATTATTGTCACTCTTTAAGGCAAGATGTAGAGTATGCAAATGAATAATCAACTTTTTTGAGGTTTTAACCACGTTGCATTAGTGTTCCCGCATCAAAAACAGACCAGAGACCTTGGTTTTTGATCCATCCACGCTAACATCAACAACTTCTCTCTCAGTTCTGTGACATCTCTATGACATCACACTCAGAACAGTTTAATGCGTTTTAAAACAAAAGCATTGCAATTAATTTAGGCAATTCTTCAAGATTCTTTACAATATAATGTTTTGAAGTCTGCCAGAAAAAGCTAATTCTACTCCTCCCTCTGGTGGCAGCTTGGGGAGTTACAGGTGAAAATCATTTTTGACCCGTGCGTATTTTGTTCAGCATATATTTTCTACATAAGAAGCACCAATCATGGGACTGTTTCATATTCCACAACAGAATAACAGTGAACAATTATTTTAATGGACAAAAATTATGCATTACATTTTTGCTTTAAGTTTTCAATATCAAGATTTTTAAGCAAAACAAACAAAAAAAGATACAAACATATGGATCTAAACTCAACTTCTCAATCTCGATTATGTTTTTTCTCTTAATCTCTCAAAGAAAAAAACTGAGTCAGGGAAAAACAAACCGTTTCTTTACCTCTATACATTCGTCGTTTTACCTAAATTTGCAACATTAGCAAATTCAATGTCAATTCAATATAAGGTCAAAATAAATGTTTTATCTTGCCGATGCACAGTTATAAAATAAAATGACAGTAAATGCATTCAAAATCAAATAGAAAATGTAGCTTGAGGACGTAATCATGATCTATATATATTTATATTGCCTAAGATTTCCCAGCCCTAAACCAAAGCCATTCCAACATTGAACAAAGGGCAATGTTTTTGTGATTTAGGATTCATAAAACAACACACAAATATAGTTTTTACGAGGGAGTTTGCACATGTTTTCCTGAAGCACGCACAGATTATTCTCTTGTTTATGTAACGCGATAGCTCCCCTTTAACTACACAGATACAATGCAAGTCTGAACGCAACAAAAGCAGCTTCCTTCCTGAACTTCCTGAACTGCCTTTTCCTCTCGTTCCCGTGAGACAAACCGTTATGTCAAAGGGGACATAGTTGACCGGGGGTGAGAGGAAAGGATTCACTTCTGTAATCTAAGACACATGGGATTCTCGTAATCCCGCTGTTGAGTTTGAGAGACTGAGAGACACTACCTCCTTTGAACTTGTGCTGTTATAAAAGCAAAAGCCAGTCCCATCTGCTGTCTCCACTCCCTCCATCCCTGTTTAAAACCTTGATTTTTTTGTATGTTTTCTTACGGATCAGTCTTGAGTTAGCCTTAGAGACACGACCACTGCAAAAAACAATGCAAAATAACGATAAAATATGAGGGAATAATTGCTTGGATCGAGTGGTTTTCATCCTAATCCGAGCACATTCTGATTTAAAACCAGATTGGCCAATGGGACAAAGTTGTTTAGTCTTTTTATCTCAAGAACTGTGGCATTATTTTCACATTCCAAGGGAGGCATTTCTTGTATCTTTTCAAAACAAGATATTTTTGCATTGTCCTATTGGCAAATCTTGTTTCAAGGCAGTCAAAATGTGCTCAAATTAAGATACATTTTACCAACTTTGAGCAATTTTTGACTTGTTTTTTATCATCTTTTGGCAGTGCAGTCTAAGAGAGACACACATACACATACGCACACACACATACTCTTTTCAGGCCAAAGGGCACGTACACAGGAAATGTGTGGTGGCCTTGTCAAGAGAAAAAAAGCGCTATCACATGAAGCACTTTAGAAGCCTGCACTAGACTTGCTCTGCGGTTCAGAAGCCATCTCCCAAACGTTTTGAAAGTTAGCAAATCATATCTTTGTGCTGGACTCTGTATTCTCTATGTATTCATTCTGCAGTGATCGTAAATGCTGTGTGATTATGTATTGCACTGATGCCTCTAGTACTGTATCTGGAGTCCTGAGGGAGACCACAAACATCCACCATAATCTAATCCACATGTTGAGTGGTGCTTTTAGCTCTTTGGAAATGAAATACTCATTTATAATCACTAGAAATGCACCGATCCAGCTGTTTCAAGTTTGAAATAGATCCTGATACTTTGGTCTATACCTGATTAGAATTGATAGTGAAATTTCCCCGCAGTGGGATTAATAATCTTCCAAGGAATAGGCTGAATATGGCATTTGTCTGCTTCAATCTCCTCTAACTTTATTTAAATCGTTTAAATTGTGTTTTAAAGCAAATGTCAAATTGTGAAGAAAGAGTGACGTTTTTTGTTTAAACCCGCCCATTTTCACTTCTGCAGCTTCCTGATTGGTCAAAAAATAATTAAAATCCTTGAGGCCCCTTGTCATTGGTTTAAATATTCTCCTCCAGCGTTTCTTACTGGTCGTAGTTTTACCGAGGGAAGGACTGTTTAAAATATATTATTGTTGAAAAATACTTACTGTATATGATACTACAGCGTCCGATGTTCAGAAATAGCCATTATTTAAAAGATTAATTTAGGTTGTTGACGTCACCTTTAAGCTAGCTGTTATGCTATGCTAGGCTAATATCAGACAGTAAACACACACATCAAAACAATCTATGAATAAAACCTCAATTGATATCAAATCAAAATACTACAAAATCACCACCGATATAAAGATTGGTCGGCACTCTCGCTTCTCAGCAAGAAGGTCCTGGGTTCGAAAACCTAACTTGGAGTTTGCATGTTCTCCCCGTGTCTGCATAGGTTTGCCAGTAAAAACACGTACAGCTGTGGTCCGGACCAAAAAACATTACAAACCAGTACTGTATCGGTGCATCTCTAATAATTACTACTAGTTTACTTTGACATTTGAACCACTCTTTCTTGTAAATACAGATGTTTTTCATGATATATTATGTGGTTTGAACTCGGAACACAGTCGTACGATAAAGAGCGCAGATGCAAACCCGCTCTGCATTTTTTTAAAGCCATACGCGCTGAGTTTGAGTGGGGAAATGTATGCAAGAACTGGAATTTTATGGTTTTATTTGCTGAACTTTGGGCATTATGTTGGTAATGATCTGTCAAAGTGATATTTAATTCTGTTCTCAAAGGGCCGTGTGGCTGCAGGTTTTCATTCTAACAAAACAGGAGCACAAACCAGACTCCACTCATTTCTTCAAGTGAGTCCAGTCTTGATTCACTGGCCAATCTATGTTCCCATCCTCACCTATGGTCATTCGTTTTGAGTAATGACCGCAGAGTGGCTGGGCGCTTCAGCTAGTGATAGGGGGAGGAGCTTGAAGTAGAGCCGCTGCTTCTCGACGTCGAGAGGAGCCAGTGGGGGTGGCTTGGGCATCTGTCTGGGACGCCTGTTCTGGACACATCCGTTCCACAAGACCATTTGTAGGGACCCCTAAAGTGTTTTTCATTTATTATTATGAACTTGAGCTTCCGGGGCACGTTATACATCATCTATTTTCTCAGGAAAACGACGACATTTACTTCATTGGAAATGTTAACCCAAACACGTCAGCCCCGCGACCTGTCAACAGCTAGGGTGGAATCTGGTGCGCTCTTGCCTGGTTGGAGTGAAAACCTGCAGCTACACTGAGTGACATAACCCAGGTCTAGCCTCATTGCTGGGTCATACATCCTGTGACATCATAAGTGTTATATTATCTGTGGTTGGACTTTAGACTTATTTCAGAACAGCTGTGAGAAGAAGAAGAAGAAGAATATTATATTTCACTTTTAGCTTTAGTCTTGTTACAAATGATTCTGATAATGATGATTCTGATGTTTGTTTGAATGCATTGAGTTGCACAGTATTAACGGACCTTCTAGAAGTTTGATTACAGTGCACTTTAACCTCTATGTTTCTACATCCAGTTTGGAAACATATCGTTATGGTCTTATTATGGGATGTGAATGTGGGGCCACTGTGCTGCCTACATGTAAGGACTCAGGAGGACGGACACATCTGCATCTAACCCCAGAACCCCCAGAGCAGTCAATTTGACAGGTTTCAGTTTTGGATGTATGATTACTCAGTGTGGTCTTTTTCTGTTTCTTTATGTAGTTTTTTTCTAGTTTATATTGGTTGCTTGGTAACCAACTTTCTGTGGCAGTTAAAACTGGACAGGTCCTGGCCTGCTTCTTGACTGGTTGTAGACCGGTCCTTGACTGGTTCTGGACTGGTTCTGGACTGGTCCTGGACTAGTCCTGGACTGGTTCCTGACTGGTCCTGGAATGGTTCTGGACTGGTTCTTGACTGGTCCTGGACTACTTCTTGACTGGTCCTGGACTAGTCACGGACTGGTCCTGGACTGTTCCTTGACTGATTCTTGACTGGTCCTGGACTAAACATTTTTGCTGCAATTCTCATAATTCCATTGGTTTAAATGGGAACAGTCAAGACGACGGCTCTGGGAGTTGGATTAGTTAAATACAGTTTCATGTCCGTTACTTTGAGACTTTCTGTCTTCAACACTTTAGCACTTAATAAATGATTGAGTAAACGTTGAGTGCTTCTGAATGTGTTTGAATCCTTTTCTTATTTATATGAACAGCATTAACCACTATTAATATATTACGTAAGTAAGTTCACACAAAACAGCGCCACATGTTCTTTCTTTACACACAAGCTTTTACAGGCTGTTTATTTGTCACGTTTTATTCCAGGACCAATATATCGCTTTATCGAACCAATATGAGTGTAACCAAATACTGTGTATAGTTTTTATATCTGTGTTTTTAGTGACAAGTTTGTGGGACTATTTTGAGTTGAAGGTGGACTGAAACTACACAAAGCCACACACTGTACAGAATTGTTTTTACTTTCAGATTCAGAAAACTTTATTGATCCCAAAGGGCAATTGATTTGCAGCATAAACTCAAAGCAGAACACACATACTCTACACAAACACACAGTGAGTCTCACAGTTCACACAGCAGCAGTTTACACAATATGAACAAAAAAACAACACTGAACAACACAATTCCCAAAAGTCAACCACCTCTACCAGAGTTCAACAGTTTTATGGCAGAGAGCACAAAATAATTGGAAAAACAGTTTGGTTTCCGCACTGGAGCATAAAAAACGACGCCCTGAAGGCACCAATACAAAGTCAGCGATCAGAGGATGTTTGGGCTGAGCCAGAATACACTTTACTTTATTCAGCACCTGTTCCTCCCACAAAGAGTGAAGGTTTTCTCAAAACACTCTGTCGTTTCTGTCCTTCAGCGTCAGGCTTTGGAACCAACAGATAAAAGAAAAGCTAAGAAGGATTTCAATAAAAGAACAAAAAAAATGATTGAGAATTGTCCTGTTAACATTAAAAGAGTTCAATTTCCTCAACAGGTACATTCTCCGCTCTCTACTTTACATTTCTATACAATCAACCTCTATAGTTCTACACTCCTGCTTTAAGTTGAGTTTTTGCCGCTGCCAGTCACTTAGCATCAGAGAAAAACCATAAAGTACATTTAGTTTTGAATAATTCAAATGTGTCCTGGTGCTGCTGTCTGAACAGATACAGGCTCTGGCAGACACTGGAGCAGCTGAGGTTTATTACATCCTTAATCTCACTTCCCACAATGCACTTTGTCTCCCGGTTTGTGTGTGTGTTCCCCTGGTTTGTAACTTGAACCTTTGGAGCCGGGATCTTCCACAGAACAGACTCTTTACTCTGTGTATTATTGATGCAGGTCAGGTACGTGAGAGAAGAGCCGCCTGGATCACATTACTGCAGCTGTTTTGCAATACAACAGTCACGTGTACTATAATAATACACAACTTTATGTATGTATTGCAATAAAAAAATATGTTTAAGATAACAAGGAGTTAAACCAGGAAGTTATATGAGGACATCATGCTATAGGAAAGTGAATAATGTATTACAACCAGTCAAAATATACACAACACAACAAACATTCATTCATTTTTGGCCCTTTTATTAGTCCATTTCTGGGTCGGGCGGGTGGCAATGAGAGCTGCCACCCAAGACTCAACGGCCCCTCGCTGATCCTCTGCAGGTGGTGGGTCCACAGGAAGATGGCTGCTACATCAGTGGTGGCACAGCCCTGGTCTTTCAGTGGGAGCTTCAGGCAAAGTGGGGTTAAGTGTCTTTCCCAAACAACAGCAGACATTAGTGGGAGCAGTTGTAGTAGGTCCCGTGGTGAACAGTGTGTGAATAAACAAATTCTAAAGGCAAAAACTCAAAAATCAAGTTTCATTAAAAAAAAAAGGAAAAAAGCTATAATATATTCATAATTTTTGATACCAATAGTCATTTTGTTTTATTTTTTTACTTAAAGCTGAGGTAACTAACTTTCAAACCACAAAAAGTTTAAAATGTTTTCAAATTCTTCTAACTCAAAACAGTTTGGTTCTATCACTCATTTTTGGGCCTAATTTTTAGCTCAGCATTTTCAGAAAAAAAAAAAAAGAGTAACAAAGAGAGGACTCAGTCAGCCAATCAGCTCTCAGTCAAAGCGTCAAATATTGACTCACGGCTCTTTCGCAAAAGTATGCAAAAGATAATATGTTTTCTAACACAAAGACAGCAAGACTTTCTTTCGGGTCAAACAAAATGCTTTTCTGTAAAGTATAAATAAAGTTACGTACCCCAGCTTTAACATGAGGGTCCAGGTTAAAGCTGGGAGTGTGAGGGGTTCATTTCACAGCCAGAACCGACAATATATTGTCGTCCAAAGTAGTAATGTTAAAAGTTTGTGGGTGAATGATGTGTTTCTCATGGAAGAACAAGGACTCATTTGATTGTGTCACTTTCTCATTCGGAGTTTATGCAAATTCAATGCAAAAAAACTGCTTTAGATAGTCGACGCTCTAGAACTCTTCATATTTCTCATGTTCTTATTGAAAGAGCATGATCTTTGCCTCGGAAGTCAAAAACACATGTCATGATGTAGATCTTTAGGGTTTGAGACTTAAGCCTGGTTCACACGGCAGGATATTTAGGCCGATTTAGACCCGATTTACCCCTTACGACAATCTTAAGAAACGCTCCGATTTCCATAACAAAATCTTACAGATTATCCTGCCGTGTGTGGTGTGTTAAGACTGCACTCGTCGCTCGGAAGGACATCGGGACTGCTCCCGATCTCAAATCGGGGATATCCAACATGTTGGATTGTTTTGGCCCGATTTCTTGTCGTGTGTGGTGTCCTCCGAGGACAAGCGAGCGCGTTGCCATGACTATGGCGTGTAGCCAATAAGAAGACGAGGTGACAAGCCGGTGAGGAAACACCGGAAAAAAACCAAAACACAGCAGGCTTTGACCATTGCCTTTTCTTTGGATTACGTGTCTTCTCTGTTAACAACAAACTGCACACTATCGCCACTGCATCCTCTTCGTCCGCCATGACTGTCTACTCTGAAGTCACGCTTGATCTCGAGAGATTTTGTGAGATTTCCGTCCTGACCTGGGAATGCTCGGGGGGGGGGGTGTCGGTTCGTGTGTGATGTTTGTGGCTTGCGTGATCTTGCCGTGTGGCTACGCACCACACACTGCACGAGAGATAGGGATAGTTAGGGTCAGAAGTTATAGGATAATAAAAACTCCATATCCCCCGGGGGTGGGGAAAAGGGCACAATTAATTTAAACAGAAGAAAGCCAAGTATTTAAAATGTGGATTCTGATAATAATGAATCTGATTAATGAGGAAAAAGAGAGCCTCTTGGCTGTAGTATACGAGTTTCATGTGAAGAAATGACAAAAGATCAGTCTGGGAGTTTTTCTCTTGTATTCTGATGTAATGTTTCGATAGTTACAGAGAATCAAAAAAAAAAAAAGATTCTGCTGGAACTCTCGATACATTATCATGTAGCAAAATGGTAATGTTTTCCATTACTGACGTATTTAAGGATAAAATGTAAAGTGTCGTTTGACGTGAGAAAAACTTTTACCACTGATTTCGACAACCTTGTCACGAGAAAAACGAGAAAAGTATTTGACTCCATGCTTCCTTTGTTCGGGAGGCCCCTCCCCTCCCTCGTTCTGTCCTCTCTCTCTCTCTCTCTCTCTCTCTCTCTCTCTCTCTCTCGTGAAGAAAGAATTTTTTGTAGAAAATTACATTTATACACACGATAATGTTACTGACATGGAGTCATAGGATCCAACTTTGCGTAGATTATAGACAAGTTTTTTTTCCCTACAGTTTTTTTTCCCTTTTTGGTGATATAAAAGTTAGAATGATCTTAGAGAGCATTATACTTTTGGAAAAATAGGGCTTAGGATAGTAGTTGAATGCAGATTTGGTTTTCAGAATTTAATGTTTAAAATGTTAATAGTAATTATTTCATAGGTTTATTTTGAATTGTAATTAATCATTGGTTTGGTATGGTAATTAACACACTTGTTTGTGTTTCTTGTTTGTCTGTTTTTTCCGAGAAAACTTCTGTCTGTTTCATTTGGCCAAAAATCGTCCCTGCCACAAACCACAACCGAGCATCATCATCATCATCAGCGTCTCCCCCTCTCCCTGCGGGTCGCAGGGGGCAGCATCGGCTGCAGCAGCTAACAGGAACTCTCGAAGAAGACTTCTCCTGCCTGTGAGGAGGCAAAGAAAAGACCGCAGACTTTTCACAAACTGAGTGTTGTCCCATCTACGAAACAGAAGGTGGCGGTAATGCGAAAAATAGGCCGCCAACCGCCGGAAAACCAAACAAGAAGAAGAAGGACACGACACATTTGGGTGCGTCAGATATGAAAGAAGAAGAAAGACATTGAGGAAAGAGTTATCGGAAGAAGAAAGAAAGTGATTGTTGGAAGAAGAAGAAAGACATTGTGAGAAAGAGTTATCGGAAGAAGAAAGAAAGTGATTGTTGGAAGAAGAAGAAAGACATTGTGAGAAAGAGTTATCGGAAGAAGAAAGAAAGTGATTGTTTAAGAAGAAGGAAAAAGACATGGAGACAAAGAGATTGGACACTATGAGACAAAAGACATTGAAAGACGCCATGAGTAAAAGAAAGACATTAACGGACATTTGAGACGTGGCTGGCCTAAATGAGACACACAGAAGGTAAATATACAGACAGACAACAAACGCACAGAGACATATTAAGTTATTTTTACACATTTAGGTCATTCGTTCATAACACCACATTTAGCTGCATGAAAGAATACAGAACAATCGTTAAAATTAATTAGACTCTTGCTTTAGCATGAGACACAAGGAGATTAGAACAGCAGTATATTTAAAGTAGAGGAGCTCTATTATTGAAACTAGTATTATTTAAAGTTATAGACGCGGAGAAGTTTAGAATTATTGATTTTGACTGCATGATCTTGGTAATACGGATATTTAAAGCAGTGTTTTCAACCTTTGAACCGTGGCTCGTTAATTATTTAAGAACAATCACATGCACAGATGAAACTGGTGCTAGAAAGAGAACTGCAGCTTTTAATGGACGTTGCATTTAGTACAAAATGGTTTGTTCAGACAATTAAAGTTTGAAAAATGATTTAAAGCATTTCTGAATTTTGGCTAAAGGTGATATTGGATCATTTCTGATAACACATAGACGCAACACTGTTCATTGGTTGAAAACAAAGATGTAGGGACATTTTATGAAATCTTTTATGACATGTTTCTCTTCCAAATAGCTAAATTAGAAACAATTAGGACAATTATGTCTTTGATAACTGTTGGCAGTTTATCTGAGACATGATTGGCGCAAGTACACACACATAAAACAATGGTCTTTTCTCCACATGAACGTGAAACAAAGGTGAAGTATTAAAGTTTGAAACTAATTTACATTTTTAAGGAATCCGAACTGGCTTTAAAAAAAAAGGGAAAAACATTTATTGCACGTGCATGAGTTTTTTTTTAAGTGACAAGAGCTCATTAAAAATATAGGGGACACAGTTTGTGACAAGCCCGAGTAAAGACCACGTGGTTTAAACACTAAAGTTTGAAATGGATCCTTTTAGGAAAAATCTCTCAAAGCTTTGCATGTTCTGCAGGCTCTGAAAGTTGCAACAATAAAATAACTCATGAGACAATTGTAATTGGAGATGGAAAAATATAACAAAGTTAAAATTACAGGCCTCTTGTGTATGTTATATGTTTGTGTATGTTATATGTTTGTGTATGTTATATGTTTGTGTATGTTATATGTTTGTGTATGTTATATGTCTGTGCGTCATGTCCAATACACTACGTTGACCTTAACAAACTGGACCAATACTAACGTGGGGTGTTGTGAGTGTGTTGGGGAGTGGACGAGGAGTGCTGAACGGAATCATGGAATAACAAAAGTTTTCTGTAATGTTTTAATGTGATCATGGAATAATTATTTTTTGTCAACAGCATACGGTGTAAGTACTAGAGATTCAAAGATGACAAGCTTTATTGAACAGGTGTAAAAGTGAGAGTACTCTGGGATGAGTACTCTGAGAAAAGTACTCTGAGAAAGTACTCTGAGATGAAATACCTCGCTGAAGGTATTGGGAGTCCCCCCCTCTGCTGTATGCCCGGACAGGGATTCGGTCCAACCGCAGTGAGCTGTCGTTGGGCGGAGGACACCTTTGGTTTGTAATTCACATTTAGGGGAGTATAAAATTAGAAACATACATATTGTTAAGTCTGTATTTGGCTACAGCCTCTGCCCTGATGCCACACACCGTCTGTCAATGTAGTTATGTTTTGCCCAATTGGATTGATTGACAGGCTGCACAATGCGAAGAGAGGAAAGTGGGCGTTTCTTGTGTTCTAATGTTTCTTTTTCAGATGAAAGATAAACTGCACCTGCTTCAGGGATGACAGTAGTATGAATTAAGGAAATGAGCCTCTACTTTGGCACCAAAGCCCACAATATGAATTGAGGACGATCCGGGAGGAACAACAGGATTGGAACAGTAATCTACACACACACAGATGCATGTTTTATACTTTGGACCACGACCAACAGAGGGGAGTATTGTATTGTCATAGGTGGTCATGGTCCTTAACCTTCTAAATCATTAGAAAGAAGTGTAAAACATATATTTACAAGAACAAATAAATAATAGAAAGGGCAGCCTAAAAAAGCAAAATGGGAAAATTATTAAGTAATTTTCGGAGTTGCCAAAATGAAATAAAATTCTATATTTGTCCCATAGGGGGTCATTCTAAATTTAGTGTCGTGCAAATTTAAAAGGAGAAATAATAGCGCTTATAACATCAAACAGATCTACTCTTTAAGATAATAGATCATACAATAATAGAATAGAATGAAATAGTCTGGAGCTATAATGTCATTGGATTCGAGGAGCTATAGGTTGAAAGGTCGCTAGGAAGAGGTGTCAGAATAAACAATAGTAATAATAGTTAGACTAGTGAATAATCAAAATAGTTCTATTGTGGAAATAAGTATCAATAAGGTCAAATTGTTCTAATAACTAAAGTAAAAAGGAATCAAATGGAGTCAGATTTTAGATGTTTTCTGTTTTCCACATCTGTAGGAACTGGTGCAGAGGTGTTTATAGAGAGTAGTATTAAAATGCAGACATAGAACGACAGGCTTTAACACAATTTTAAATCTAAAAATAGCTCAAATATAACATTGCTCTTGACGCAGCCTCTGAGCTGCTCCATTGGAGAACAGGTTAAATGTTATTGTTTATTACAAACAGCTGATGTATTTACACATATTAAGTTTGGGACAAGTCTTTAAACAGTTATAAGCAGCGGACAGAAGCCATGAATGTGCTTTTGTTTATTAAATAATTAAATGCATAGCCTTATAATCGTAGAGAACGTTTTAAAATAGTTAAAATCCCTTTCAGGCAACTTGATTTAGATGTATGTCTTTAATATTGGAGAACGACTGTGTTGTTTTTGGAATTGTCTGAAATACAATACATAGAATAGTGATTTGCAGAACAAGAACCAGCCAATGAAAAATCGTCTATTGCCAATGCAATTGTTACAATCAGAACTCAAAAATTGGGAATATGCTTTGGCTCAAACTACAACCAAGATTTGGAGTCACAATAGAGTGTAAAATAGATAGATGCTTTCAAAAAAAAAAAAAAAATAGAGATTATTTTTAGACAGGGCCAATATCAAACGGTAAAAAGACCATTTCCTTCATATTATGTCCAAAAGTAGTTACTTCAAAAGTAGATAAAGTTCATGAGTGTAGCCTAGATTAATGTAGCTTAGATTAATGAGATAGATTAGAACCAACAGAGATTCAAAAACATTTAAAAGCATTTTGGTTAATTTGAATATAGCACAAAAGTAGATATTTAGGTAGTTTTGAGAATTTTAAGAGCTGTCGATTTGTCAGCAACAGATTAGAGAATCAAAATACCGTTGTATAGGGACTGACCCCAGAGAAACCTGCTAAAATAGATTAGCTCCTGTAACGATAATACCAATTTGATTAATGATGAAGAATCAGAATGACACAGCGGTGGTCATCAAAGAGTTTTGTGAAGGAATGTTTCGAATGTGGTTTTGTGTTGTATTCTTTCTGTATTGGCTCTTCACAGATATCAAGCCTGAACTAAGCACAAGTATGGATGATAAACGACGATGTGGATTGTGACCTGATTTTTAATCAGGTCAAAAGAGGGAAACTGTTGCATAATTAAAATGTTGTATACTAATGATTTTGAAAATAGGCCCTCTGAAGAAGGTGCACGGGGAAAAGCCCCAAGGACAAAGGAATATGCACTCAGGAATCATAGAGATGACCAGCTTTCAAAACGGGACAAATTATTAACTCCAGGAATAAACAAATGCTCTCTCCCACTCTGGACGAGGGCAAAAGTCCAACACAATCAGGCGCCCAGTGGTGGGGGGCATTGTTTGCTCAGGTGGAGAGGGAAGACCAAGACCGGGTCCAGACCAGGGGCCAGACCAGTCCCAGACTGTGACGTCATCGGACCCTTTGATAGAAACTGCTGGGAGGAGATTGGCAGTCAGTCAGCCGAGGGCCAGGAGAGAGGGACATATATAGTTTTAGGAGCACTTTTTGTTGAACATTCTGTATCTGATTGTAAAGATAATTAAATGCAGATGTTAAACGTGAAGATCTCTTGTCTCGCTCTTGCATCGATTTTGGATACGTCAGTCAAAGGGAATTATTGACTTCAACACACTCTCTCTCTCTCTCTCACTCACGCACACACATTCTGTCTGACTCAAAGACACACACTCTCTGACAGACACACACACTCTCTCTGACACACAAGCACACACTCTCTCTCTCCCTCTCTCTCACGCACACACGCACTCAAAATCTCTGACACACAGACACACTCTCTCTGACACACACACTTAAAGATGGATAGAGAGATACATTATTGATAAAAAAAAACAATAAATTGATCATTCTAAAAAGCTAACAATAGTAGTAATAATTAGAAACAGCACATCCTGACACACAAAATCTCACTCACACACACACACACATACACACACGCACACACTCCTCCATCATTTTTTTCTATATATCCTTGTAGACCATTTTTAAAGGTCCCATCCCTCACTTGTTCCCATCTTTTAGCCTCTTGCTACAGTTTTCATTCACACCAAGTCTGTCAAACCAGCTCCTGACTCCCAGTACCTTTCCCACACATTCTTTTCCAATTCCATTTCTCCTTTTTACAGGACACATCGCCATCTTCGTGAGGCCTCTGA